AAAAATCTTCCAGATTAAGAATGTGGGAAATTTATTCCCTTTTTTCATGTCCAGTGAAAAATCTAGTAATTTAAAATGAAAAACTCAGTAAGAGGAAAATAGTGAATTCAGAAGTATTTCTTCAGAATACATTCATCAGAAGTTAATTTTTTTTTCAGAATGCATTTCTCTGATATTCAAACTGATTCTGTTGGGCTCTTGCATAATTTCTCAGACTTAGAGAAATGCTCCTTAATACATTTTGATGTCCCCATTACCTCTCATTTTCTTGGAGCAGCTGACATAAGTCAATGCTGTGTGCATCTTAAAGCTATTCTAGACAGAATTCTACTCTCACCCTGTGTGGAGGTTCAGTCAGGTGGTGGGAAAAGTTGTAAGAGAAATTATAAACTTATAGGAAATAGGCACAAACCTTCTTGGGAGGTTTGCATAGCTTCAGTAAAAGGTTTGACTGAAGGCAACTGATTATCTTAAAAGCTTAGGGCATAAATATATAGGAATGTAGAGGAATTTATCTAAATAGCTTGTTTACTCAGGTGAACCTAGGACCAATCTTTAATCATATGTGTGGGGAAATGGCTCTCTGCTCCAGGGGATTGGGAAGGTCAATTACCATCTAGTGGTGTTTACTCAAAACCTTTGTCATTTAATCTGTACTAAATAAATTCGATCTTCGCTGACTGATCGAGGCTGCAGCTGCTGACTCTGTGAGAGGCCTAGATCCCTATGCCCACTCCTTCACTGAATATCTGTGTCTGAGTACATTTGTTCATCCATCACTGGGTCAGGGTTTACTGGCCAAACCCAAAATCCTGTACACATGAAGGGTTGAAAAAATTGTGAGGAAAGTGCAACCATAAGGTTAGCAGAGGACGTGTTTGTTGAAAGTTGTCCGCGTAATCAGATTTTATTATAGGAAAAGAATATCAACTGTCAGATTCTTGACTATACAAGACTGATTTGCTGCTGAGTGTGTAGTTTCTAGTCTGGAGTTTCCTAGGTGGTCTCCAGTCCAGGTTTGACCATTAGACAAACCTGGGTTTTAATATAGCTCTGTCTGTTCCTTGCTGTGTGACCTCACCCATCTGCTGGAAAAATAATGTTCCTCCTCTTAAATTGAGACAATGATATTTTACTCATAGAGCTGTTGCAAGAATCTGAGCTATGGAATGTAAAATCTTTAGCATGGCGTTCATCATTTTTTAAAAAATCTTTTAAAATGGCTGTTACTATTGTATTTGTCTTCCACACTGCCTAGTAAAATGCTAGTAAATACTCAAATGATTTGTGAATAAAACAACTAATTTACGCTTCAAAAGTAACTTTTATTTGCTGAGTAAAATTGAGATTTTCTTTTTCTTCTGGAGATAAATAAAAGTAAAGGAGTATTTTAATAGAAAAGGGGGGAGGAGGAAAGAAAGAAATGGCCATAGCTATTGTTATTGGCTAGGTAAAGTGGTAGCTAGAATGGCTAGACCAAATTAAGGTAAAATTCTAGTAGTTGAAATATGAATTAGGAAAAATAAGATAAAGTGTTAAATGATTTAAGATTGTAATATAAAATATACACAAAGAGCTAGTGTGGACTATTGCATCCTACCCTAGTTACCAACACTTTTAACATCATTCAGCTGATCTTTTTGCCTGTCCAGGTCCCATGTCCATATCTATTGTGACAGTCACAGTAGAACCTCTTGAAGTAGGCCAGCTTCAGCATGACCTGTTTCTCTGGGATGTCTGCATGTACTCTGTCTATTACAATGGGGTGATATCCACATGGCAGGCATTTGGCATGAGGATAGTGTCCCAATTTAAATAAAAGATGTCTGGCAGGCTTATGTCAGAGAAGAAAATCCCCTTTTAAATCAGAGAATTTCCCAATTTAAAGTTATTTCAACATAGCCTGTCAAAGCCAGATGACATCTTAGATCTCCTCATTCAATCACTTCATGTTGTGGGTGACGGGACTGAATTTACAGAAGAGTTGAGTTATCATCCTTGCTTTTTATATGATAGAATCTTTAGTCATGCCTGAGCCCAGTGAGTGACTTTTGGATTCTGAAAGGCTGAACTTTTACACACAGGATGCTTGACCTGATAAACAGAAGATTCAGAAGACTGACAACCACATTACGTTTTTTCTTAGCTTCATTCAGCACTACTTTTTAGTCCATGCTTCAGTTTTCTCAGATCATTCTTAGCTTCAGACACTGGAGACTATCTCCAAAAGATACTCCTGGATCAATTCCTAATTCTCTACATAATTAACTCCCCATTCAACAAATCATCACCCAGTGGCCAACTGTGTGCCAGACACTATGCTGGATACTTTGGTAGAGCAGTGAAGAAAGACATCAGGCTATTATATCAGCTACCTGGCCAGGCGTGGTGGCTCACACCTGTAATCCCCAGCACTTTGGGAGGCTGAGGCGGGCAGATCACTTGAGGTCAGGATTTTGAGGCCAGCCTGGCCAACATGGTGAAACCCTATCTCTGCTAAAAATAAAAAAATTAGCCAGATGTGATGGCAGGTGTCTATAATCCCAGCTACTCAGGAGGTTGAGAATGAGAATCTCTTGAACCTGGGAGGCAGAGATTGCAGTGAACCGAGATTGTGCCATTGCACTCCAGCCTGGGTGACAAGAGCAAGACTTCACCTCAAGAAAAAAAAATCAGCTATTTATCCAATGAGGAAGAGACAATAACAAGGAAACAACTTAATAAACAAGCAAGTATAAATGATTTTCAGGGTTGTAAGGAAATGGTGTAGTGAGACTATGGGCAGAGTGTTGGCATCCTCCTAGAGGCAGGCAGCTTGTGTCCAGGAAAGCAGAGCCAGGGACATGTAAACAGAGTTATGTATATTTAAGGTATACAATCTGATGTTTTGATACGCATATATATTGTGAAATAATACCACTACCAAGCTAATTAACATAGACATCACCTCAAATAGTCACCGTGTGTGTGTGTGTGTGTGTGTGTGTGTGTGTGTGTGTGTGTGGTGAGAACATTTGAGATCTACTTTCAGCAAATTTCAAGTGTATAATACAGTGTTAACTATAGTCACCATACTGTAAATAAAATCTCCAGAAATTATTTATCCTGTATAACTGAAACTTTGTACCCAGTAGCCAACATTTCCCCATTTTTCCCATCTTCTATTCCCTGGCAAGTATCATCCTACTGTCTGCTTCTGTGGGTTTCACTTTTTTTTTTCCTTTTTAGATTGCATTTATAAATAAGATCGTTCAGCATTTGTCTTTCTGCGCCTGGTTTATTTCACTCACTATGATGTCCTCCAGATTCATCCATTGTCACAAATGGGAAGATTTCCTTCCTTTTCAGGACTGAATAATATTCCACGTTACACATATACTACATTTTATTTATCCAATCACTTGTTGACAGACACTCAGGTTGTTTCCATATTTTAACTATAATGAATAATGTTGTAATGAATACGGGAGTGCAGATATCTCTTCAAGATAATGACTTCATTTCCATTGGATATATAACCAGTAGTGGTATTGCTTAATGATATGGTAGTTTATTTTTAATTTTTTAAGAAACCTGTTTTAGAAGAGCCAGTCATCACAGAAACCTATACTGTTTTCCATAATGGCGGTATTAACTTACATTCTCACCAACAGTGTACAAGGGTTTCCATTACTCCACATCTTCATCAACACTTGTCTTTAATCTTTTTACAGTAGCCATTCTAGAAATATGAAATTATATCTTGCTGTGGTTTGATTTGCTTTTTTTCTGATGACTCATAATTTTGAGCATTTTTTCATTCACTTGTTGGCCAAGTAGATATATTCTTTGGAGAAATGTCTACTTAAGTCTCTTGTCCATTTTTAAAACTAGGTTATTTGTTTTCTTGATATTGAGTTGCTTGATTTTAGTATGTGCATTGGATACTGACCTCTTACCAGATGTATGGTTTGCAAATATTTTCTCCCATTCTGTAAGTTGTTTCTGTACTTTGTTGATTATTTCCTTTGCTGTGAAGAAATTTTTTGGTTTGATGTAATCCCATTTGTCTATTTTTGCTTTTGTTACCTGTGCTTTTGGAATCATATCCAAAAATTTATTCCACAGAATAATGTTTAGAAGATTTTCCCTTAGTATTCGTACATTGTTAGGTGTTATGTTTAAGTAATTAATCCATTTGAGTTGATATTTGCATGTGGTATGAGATAAGGATCCAATTTCATTCTTCTGCATGTTGATATCCAGTTTTTCCTACACCTTTTGCTGAAAAGACTGTTTTCCATTCTAGGTTCTTAGCACCTTTGCTAAAGATCAATTTGCTGTAATTACATGGATTTGTTTCTGAGCTCTCTGTTCTGTTGAATGGTCTATACCTCTGACACATGCCAATACTATCGTGTTTGATGGCTATAACTTTGTAATATATTATAAAATCAGGTAGTATAATTTATACTGTTTTGTCCTTCTTGCTTAAAATTGCTTTGGCTATTTGGAATCTATTGTGGTTCCATATAAGTTTAACATTGTTATTTGTGTTTCTGTGAAAAATGACATTGTAAGTTAGATAAGGATTTCATTGAATCCATAGATCATGGTGAGTAGTATGTACATTTTGACAATATTAAATCTTTCAATCCATTATCACAGGATATTGTTTTCATTTATTGTTTAATTCATTTATTGTTTCATTTATTATTTAATTCTTTCATCAATGTTTTATAGTTTTCAGTGTACACATCTTTTACCTTATTGATTAAATTTATGTCAAAGTATGTGGCTATGATGCATTGTAAATGTGATTGATTTTAAAAATTTCGTATTCGACTGAGACTGGGCCCAGCGGCGCTGCCGAGGGAGGGCGCGCGCTTCAGCCGGCTACCGCGCACGCGCGCGGGCCCGCGCCGGCTCAGCACGGCCCCGAGGGGGCGAGCCCGCCGCTGTCGCCGCCGCAGCCAGGTCAGGGCCGCTGTGCACCTGCCGCGGGAGGCATGGGAGGGAGCGCGGCTGCCTTAGCCCTGCGCCACCCGGTTGTTGTCTGCCTTTGCCTTTTGGCGCGGTCCGAGTTCTCTTTGACTGCAATGGAAAGAGGAAAGACAAACTAGAATTATTTTTTTTTAATTGTCATTTGATTTCTTCAGAGTTATTGTGGCCTTCTGAGCTGTCAACTAAAGATGCTCCTGAAACATAACAACAGCGTTAGTCGGGTGCAGTGAAGCAAGAAGGCCCCCCACATTTGCATCCCAGATATGGCAGATACTTAGCATCTAGCAAAATAACGGCAGCTGCTTATCTTGACCCCAACTTGAATCACACACCAAATTCGAGTACTAAGACTCACCTGGGTACTGGTATAGAACGGTCTCCTGGTGCGATGGAGCGAGTATTAAAGGTCTTTCGTTATTTTGAAAGCAATAGTGAGCCAACCACCTGGGCCAGTATTATCAGGCATGGAGATGCTACTGATGTCAGGGGCATCATTCAGAAGATAGTGGACAATCACAAAGTAAAGCATGTGGCCTGCTATGGATTCCGCCTCGGTCACCTGCAGTCAGAGGAGGTTCACTGGCTTCACGTGGATATGGGCGTCTCCAGTGTGAGGGAGAAGTATGAGCTTGCCCACCCACCAGAGGAGTGGAAATATGAATTGAGAATTCGTTATTTGCCAAAAGGATTTCTAAACCAGTTTACTGAAGATAAACCAACTTTGAATTTCTTCTATCAGCAGGCGAAGAGTGATTATATGTTAGAGATAGCTGATCAAGTGGACCAGGAAATTGCTTTGAAGTTGGGTTGTCTAGAAATATGGTGATCATACTGGGAGATGCAGGAAGATACTTTATAGTTAGAAAAGAAGTCTAACTATGAAGTATTAGAAAAATATGTTGGTTTAAAGCAATTTTTTCCTAAGAGTTTACTGGATTCTGTCAAGGGCAAAACACTAAGAAAACTGATTCAACAAACATTTAGACAATTTGCCAACCTTAATAGAGAAGAGAGTATTCTGAAATTCTTTGAGATCCTGTCTCCAGTGTACAGATTTGATAAGGAATGCTTCAAGTGTGCTCTTGGTTCAAGCTGGATTATTTCAGTGGAACTGGCAATCAGCCCGGAAGAAGGAATCAGTTACCTAACGGACAAGGGCTGCAATTCCACACGTCTTGCTGACTTCAATCAAGTGCAAACCATGTATTCAAACAGTTTGAAGGACAGAAAAGGAATGCTAAAACTAAAAATAGCAGGTGCACCCGAGCCTCTGACAGTGACGGCACCATCCCTAACCATTGCAGAGAATATGGCTGACCTGATAGATGGGTACTGCTGACTGGTGAATGGAGCCTCGCAGTCATTTATTATCAGACCCCAGAAAGAAGGTGAACAGGCTTTGCCATCAATACCAAAGCTGGCCAACAGTGAAAAGCAAGGCATGCAGACACATGCCGTCTCTGTGTCAGAAACAGATGATTATGCTGAGATTATAGATGAAGAAGATACTTAACACCATGCCCTCAACCAGAGATTATGAGATTCAAAGAGAAAGAATAGAACTTGGACGACGTATTGGAGAAGGCCAATTTGGAGATGTACATCAAGGCGTTTATATCAGTCCAGAGAATCCAGCTTTGGCAGTTGCAATTAAAACATGTAAAAACTATACTTCGGACAGCATGAGGAAGAAATTTCTTCAAGAAGCCTTAACAATGCATCAGTTTGACCATCCTCATATTGTGAAGCTGATTGGAGTCATCACAGAGAATCCTGTCTGGATAATCATGGAGCTACGTACACTTGGAGAGCTGAGGTCATTTTTGCAAGTAAGGAAATACAGTTTGGATCTAGCACCCTTGATCCTGTATGCCTATCAGCTTAGCACAGCTCTTGCATATCTAGAGACCAAAAGATTTGTACACAGGGGCATTGCTGCTCAGAATGTTCTAGTGTCCTCAAATGATTGTGTAAAATTAGGAGACTTTGGATTATCCCGATATATGGAACTTACTACAAAGCTTCAGAAGGAAAATTGTCTATTAAATGGATGGCTCCAGAGTCAATCAATTTTCGACATTTTACCTCAGCTGGTAAAATGGATGTTTGGTTTATGTATGTGGGAGATACTGATGCATGGTGTCAAGCCTTTTCAAGGAGTGAAGAACAATGATGTAATCGGTCGAATTGAAAATGGGGAAGGACTACCAGTGCCTCCAAATTGTCCTCCTACCTTCTACAGCCTTATGACGAAATGCTGGGCCTATGACCCCAGCAGGCGGCCCAGGTTTACTGAACTTAAAGCTCAGCTCAGCACAATTCTGGAGGAAGAGAAGGCTCAGCAAGAAGAACGCATGAGGATGGAGTCCAGAAGACAGGCTACAGTGTCCTGGGACTCTGGAGGGTCTGATGAAGCGCCGCCCAAGCCCAGCAGACCAGGTTATCCTAGTCCGAGATCCAGTGAAGAATTTTATCCCAGCCCACAGCACATGGTGCAAATCAATCATTACCAGGTCTCTGGCTACCCTGGTTCACATGGAATCACAGCTATGGCTGGCAGCATCTATCCAGGTCAGGCATCTCTTTTGGACCAAGCAGATTCATGGAGTCATAGACCTCAGGAGATATGAATGTGGCAGCCCAATGTGGAGGACTCTACAGCATTGGACCTATGAGGGACTGGGCAAGTGTTGCCAACCCACCTGATGGAAGAGAGGCTAATCTAACAGCAACAGGAAATGGAAGAAGATTAGCACTGGCTGGAAAAAGAGGAAAGATTTCTGAAACCTGATGTGAGACTCTCTCGAGGCAGCATTGACAGGGAGGATGGAAGTCTTCAGGGTCCGATTGGAAACCAACATATATATCAGCCTGTGGGTAAACCAGATCCTGCAGCTCCACCAAATAAACCACCTCACCCTGGAGCCCCTGGTCACCTGGGAAGCCTTGCCAGCCTCAGCAGCCCTGGGGACAGCTGCAACAAGGGTGTCAAGCCATGGAGGCTTTAGCCCCAGGAAATCAGCCCCCCACCTACTGCCAAGCTGGACCGGTCAAATGATAAGATGTATGACAATGTGACGGGCCTGGTGAAAGCTGTCATCGAGATGTCCAGTAAAATCCAGCTGGCCCCACCAGAGGAATATGTCCCTATGGTGAAGGAAGTTGGCTTGGCCCTGAGGACGTTATTGGCCACTGTGGATGAGACCATTCCCCTCCTCCCAGCCAGCACCCGCCGAGAGATGGAGATGGCACAGAAACTATTGAACTCTGACCTGGGTGAGCTCATCAACAAGATGAAACTGGCCCAGCAGTATGTCATGACCAGCCTCCAGCAAGAGTACAAAAAGCAAATGCCGACTGCTGCTCACGCCCTGGCTGTGGATACCAAAAACTTACTTGATGTCACTGACCAAGCAAGACTGAAAATGCTTGGGCAGATGAGACCACACTGAGCCTCCCCTGGGAGCATGTCTTGCTACCCTCTTTTGAAGATGTTCTCTAGCCTTCCACCAGCAGTGAGGAATTAACCCTGTATCCTTGGTCGCCAGCACTTACAGCTCCAACTTTTCTGATGACCATCTGGTTGAAAATCTTTCTCATATAAATGTAAACACACTTTGATTTGGGTTCATTTTTTGTTTTGTTTATTTTCAATCATGATCCTCAGAAAAGTCCAGGATCCAAAATGTGGCATTTTCTAAGAATCAAAATTGTATGTAAGCTTTTAAGCATCATGAAGAACAGTTTATGTTCACATTAAGATATGTTTGAATGGGGATGGCTAAGGGGTGACATCTTAATTCCTAAGCTACCTTAGCTGCATAGTGAAAGAGGCGAACATGAAGTAAAGAATTCCAGGAACCCAAGAGGCTGAGAATTCTTCTGTCTACCATAGAATTATTATCCAGACTGGAACTTTTGTTTGTTAGAACACCCTTCAGTTGCTATATGCTAATCCCATTTTACAAAGAATATAAAAGCTATATTTTGGAAACTTGAGTTATTTCAGAAAAAAACTACAGCCATTTTTGTCTTACCTGCCTTTTACTTTCGTGTGAATATGTGAAGCATTTGGTTGGGAACTAGTTGTAGAACACAACTAAAAACTCTTGTCTTTTTTCACAGAATAATGTGCCGTTTTTTTTTTTGTAGCAATGTTATTTCTCTTGGAAGCAGAAAAGCTTTATACCAGAGCACCTCCAAACTGCAATGAGGAGAAGTTCTGGAACCATCCCCTTTTTCCATTTTTATATAATTTATAAAGAAAGATTAAAGCCATGTTGACTATTTTACAGCCACTGGAGTTAACTAACCCTTCCTTGTATCTGTCTTCCCAGGAGAGAATGAAGCAAAACAGGAATTTGGTTTTCTTTTGATGTCCAATTACACCATCCATTCTGTTAATTTTGAAAAAATCCCTCCCTTTAGTTTGTTGGGGAATATAAATTATTCTCAGGAAGAATATAATGAACCGTACAGTTACTTTGACCCATTAAAAAGGTGTTACCAGTAAAAAAATTTTTTTTCTTATTCAGGTTATTTGTTATTAACATAGAAACACTTTTTTATGTTAATTGTGTATTCTGCAACTTTATTGAATTTTTGTACTAGCTCTAACAATTTTTGGTGAAGTCTTTAGGGGTTTTTATATTTTAGATCATGTCATCTGCAAAATAGACAATTTAACTTCTTTGTTTCCAAACTGGACATCTTTTATTTTTCTTGTTGGCTAGGACACCTATTTGTATGTTGAATAAAAGTGATAAGAGTGGGCATCCTTGCCTTGTTCCTGATGTTAGAGGAAAAGCTTTCAATCTGATTATAAAGTGTCTTTGTGATGATCTCTTTATGTTTAATCTATTTGAGATTCTTTGAACTCATGGGTCTGGATTTTCATTTACTTCTCCAGATTTGGGAAGTTTTCTGTTATTATTTTCTTAAAGAAGCTTTTTCCCTCTTTCTCTGCTTTTTCTGGGACTTTCATCATGCATGTATAGGTTTGCTTCATGGTGGTCCATAAATCCTGTAGATTTTCCTTACTATTTTCATTCTCTTTCTTTTGTTCCTCTGGTTAATTCCAAATGAGCAGCATTTGATCTCACTGACTGCTTTATCGAGTTTGCTGTTGAAGCTCTCCGAAAGTTTTCAGTTCAGTCATTATGTTCGTCAGCTTCAGAATTTCTGTTTGGTTATTTTTTAATGTTTTCTCTTTGTTGAACTTTTCATTTTATTCATGCATTGTTTTCCTGATTTCATTTAGTTGACTGTGTATTCTCTTGTTCATTGAGCTTCTTCAAGCCAATTAGTTTGAATTCCTCTTCAGGAAGTTCATAGATCTCCATTTCTTTAGGTTTGTGATGGGTTTTATATTGTTTTTGTGATGCCGTGTTTCCCCGATTATTTATGTTCCTTGTGGCTTTACATTAGTGTATTCATATTTGAAGAAGTAGGCACCTCTTATAGTCTTTACAAATACTTCAGTGGGAAATCCCTTTAACAGCCACCTTGTCCAGAGATTCTGGGAAGACCAACTGGCAAGGTTCATGGGAGGGATTATTTTAGTGGGCTAGCCTGGTGCCTGGGTCAGTGGGCATGTGGGCCTGGCTGTTGAGTTCACAAAGGTTGGCCTAGTCCCTTGACCTATGGGGGCAGGCCTACAGCCTGGGTACACTCAAGTGGATGATGAGCATGGGTCTAAATAGATGAGTGGATCCTGGGTCTATGGGAGTGGACTGGCTCCTGGGTCTGAGGGCACTGGCCTGGTACCAGAGCCTCCTGGAGTAGACTTGTTCTTCAGGGATAGGCCTGGAGCCTGAGTCTATAAGGCCAATCTGACACTGGGGTGGGCCTTGAACCTGAGTTCATAGGGGATATTCTGGTACTAGGTGGGCCCAGAACCTGAGTTTGTGAGGCTGGGTTCAGTTTAGAATCTATGGCAGCAGCCTGGTCCTAGGGTCAACTGAGACAGGCCCCATACCTCATTCCACTGGGAAAAGTCTAATACCTAAGACCATGAAAACAGGCCTAGAATTGGGTCCATAGGGGTTGGCCTTATGCTGGGACAGGACTGGAGCCTGGAGCTGCGAGAGACTGGAGCTGAAGGTGTGGGTGCCAGCATGGCTCTGGATAAGCCTGTTGCCTGAGGTCATGTGAGCTGGTCTGGAACTTGGAGGCCACAGGGTTGCTCTAGATCCTGGGGCCACAGGGGCTAACTTAGTGCAGGTATTGGCCTACATCTTGGGGATGCAAAGGCTGACCTGATACTGGGGCAAGTCTGGAACTAAGTCTGTCAGAATGAGCCTCATACTGAGTCCACAGGGATCAGTCTGGCATTAGGGCACACTGGGATAGGCCTGGTACCTCATTCCATGAGAACAGGCCTGGTGTCTGACACCATTAAGGTGGTCTTGGAACCACCACCTCTTGGAACAGTGGGGGCCAGCCTTGTGCCTAGATTCACTGGTAGGAGTCTGGTGCCAATGTCCATGTCAAAGTCAGGCATTCACTTCACTTTCCTTTCCCCATGCAGAAGGTATCTCTCTCTGCACTGTGCTGTGCAAGCTTGTGGTAGATGTCACATGGGTAATTCAACACTGTCCTTCTTACCCTACTCAATGTGCCTTTTCTTATTTCTGTACTCTATCCAGATGCTATAATCTCTGACTTGGATTCCTTAGCTCTTGCAAAGGTATTTTCATTCATGAATGGTTGTTCATATTGATTTTTCTGTGAGCAGATGAGTGCTAGAAATGCCTATTTCACCATCTTGCTGACGTCACACTGAAAATTCAAATTCTGTCTTATGATGCTAGTTTATGTGCAGCTTTATAGAAGCCAGTTCTGCAAAGAGAAAGGGAATGAACACATTCCAAGCAGAGGAAATGGCAATTGATGGAAGAACTCAGTGGGTTTAGGAAACTGAAATAATGGATATAGATCTCCAATGTATAGAGAATAAAGAGTGGCAAAGAGGCTGGGACAGTTAATGATGGGGATAGAGTGGATGGGTGCTCAGCCATATCCAACCTCGAATGTCATGATCTGTATGTAAAAACAAATAAATGGTCTATTTTTTTAATATAAAACCTATAAAATGATTTCAAAAGTTATCAGGTGATTGATGCAATTCTAAAAAAAAATGAAGATCTTTAAACAGGTTATTAAGTGACTAAATGAGCAAGTTCCAGATTTTAACTGATTTATAGAGGTTTGGTTGGCTATAAAATGGAGTTATTTCATATTTGGCCTGCTTGTACTGAACGTTTACTTACAGATGTGCTTCTCTTCTGAACTAATTCTACCATAAGTGCTGATAAATTTTATGTAAAAAGGTGTCCACAGTCAATTACATCTTGTAAATGCTAATTTGAAATAAAACTCTTCTTTGAACTCTTAACCTGGTAAAACGTTTTATATCTCCAAAAATAATACAGACATGCAGCAGTTACTATATTTACTTGGGCATTGCTAATTAATTTATTGAAATATCTTGAAGGATTAGATTTTAGGTCACAATATCTGGGTATTTTTGGTTCTAAGAGATAATAGTGACTGTACAACAACAAACGTCACTATAGGATATTACCTGTTGTGGTAAATTGTTTCTGTTATTTATTTCCTATTGAATTAATTTAGAAAATCATACTCTGAAAGAACACGGTATAAACTTTTTATTTTCTGGGGCAGAGTGGGTAGAGTGAATAAAACAGCTTATTTGCATGTTGGTTCCAGCAGATGAGTTGCCACCTGGCTGTGAGCTAGCTCAGGCCTGACATAGGAACAGAGGGCAGGGGCTGATCCTCCAGCAGGCCAGGAGCTGCTGCTTGCTCTGGCTCACCTTAGTACATTTTAGCAGAGATAATACCTGCAATTCATATGGATTATAGCAGATAGCACATTAATTAGGCTCTACATTATGGTGACCAATTATTTTAAAAAATACTACCTCAGGCTAGTTGCAGTGGCTCACGCCCATATTCCCAGAATTTTAGGAGGACAAGATGGGAGGATTGCTTGAGCCCAGGAGTTCAAGACCAGCCTGGATAATAAAGCAAGACCCTGTCTCTACAAAGACATTTTAAAAAGTTAGTCAGGCATGGTGGTGCATACCTATAATTCCAACTACTCCAGAGGCTGAGGCAGAAGGATCACTTGAGTCCAGGTGGTCAAGGCTGCAGCAAACCATGGTCACACCACTGCACTTTAGCCTACATGACAAAATGAGACCCCGTCTGGAAAAAGAAAATAATATTACCTCAAACCTCCATAGAACATGTTGAAAACTCAAATCCTGTCTGGTAACACGGGGGCTAATGAATATTGTCTATGGAAATGTTTTATCAAAAAGGGGCATTCAATGAAGATAGAGGGAAATAATTTATTGGCTATCCACTACTAAACATTTAAATATGTTGACCTTAATAATACTACAGCATGACAGGTCATGGAAGGAAATAACAATTGAATACTTGAAAGTTCTTCACAACTATGACATGTCTGTAAGAATGGAATCTATGTCTA